GTGGCAGGAGAAAACCTCACCCTGGGCCGATGGCACCAAGGCGGGGAAGGGTGATGGGCCAAGTGTGTGCAGCAGCTGGAGGAGGTTTCTGTCCCCTCCTGGGCTGCTTTGCTTTGTGGGCTGATGCCACCAGCTGTGCCACGGAGGGACCAGGGGCATGAGCAGCCAGGCAGCATTGGCTGGGCTGTTTCTCTGTGGGATCCACTTGAGCTAGCTCATGGCTCAGCTCACAAACATGGGCCATGGGATGGAGCTCCAGGTGTGCAGGCAGGAACCCCCCCAGGAATGGACCCTCGTGTACATTCCTCATTCCCACGGTCTACACGGCCAGGATGGTCTTTCACCCATCCTTACAGCAGAATCCCTGGGGATGTTCAGCCAGTTTTTAAAAGTTTTAAAGCCAAAATGGCCCTTGCCAGGAAAGTGAGTCCAGTTACACTGGGGGGAGCACCTCAACGGAGAAGGAGGGATGTGCTGTGCATCCCACCCTGCCTGCCCAGGCAGCCTCTGCCAGGCGTGGGGAAGCACATCTGGAAGAAACTGCTGGTTTCATGCAGGAGCCAGAAAAGCTTTTCTGCAACAAGTTTTAGAGTGCCTGCTGTGAGCTGACCTGGAGGACAGTGCGTGTGTGTGCCCAAGACTCTCTTCCTGAGCTGCTTGGACTGCTGAGGGTGATCCCTGCACTGGTGCTGTGCTCTGTGCAAGGTGTATGAGGCACTCTGCCCTTGGCAGGCATGTGTGGGACAAATGCTCTCCCCATCCATCCCTGGCCCTCTCCTCCCTCCCTCCCTTCCTTAACTGGGGATCTGTACAACAACCCTCCCAGTTCTGCTCAAGCCTCCCTGCAGCTGAGCAGGCCCCATCACATTGCCATGGGCTTTGGAAGTCCCACCAGGCAGCTCACTGCCAGCCTGGCTCTCTTTACAATCCCCCAGCTAACACTTTTAGCTCCCTCAGAATCTCCCTCTTGCTCCAGGCACTCACAGATCCCATTCAATCCCCTGTCCCAGGCTGAATTCTGCCCTGACACCCCCAAGGCCCAGGGTGGGGAGGGAAATGCCACCCTGCCCTGTGTCCCCCACACCAGCCCTTCTCAGCTCCTTCTCCTGTTCCAGGAACAGCGATCCCACCCGGGGTTTATAGACAGTTGGGGGTGGCTATTTAAGTTTATGGCTTTGATTTTTGGGGTGGGGTGGGGGTTTCCCCCCATGAACCTTTCCATTGTGTCAAAAACAAAAATATAGGAAAAGGAGATATTAAAAACCAACAAATGGGGAAAGGAGCAAGTCAGTGGTTTAGAGAAAGCAACAGCACCTTTGGAGACTATTAAATTAACATCAAACAAGACCAGGATTAATCAGCGGATTCACAAAGCTCAAAGCTGGGGGTGGGAAGGGAGAAAAGAAAACCAAAATGAACAAAAATAGGGAAGGGGAGGGGGATAAATCCACCCGTAAAAGGGGAAATATAAAGGCTGAGAATTAATAACACAGAGAGAGCGAAGGTGGAGAGGGCTGCAGACCTGGCAAGGAGCGCACGTCCTCGTTTCGTCCATCAGCAGGAGTTATGGGCATAGCAGCGGGCAGGCTTGCACTGGCATTCAGAGAGTTAAAAGCATTGGCACTGAGAGGTGAGCGCTCTTCCTGCTGCTTGTCATATTTACCCATTAGGGCTTTCCTAATTATTGCCTCCAACCCCATGTTGGTACTGGAATTCTCTTGGACCGACTGGCTCCTACAACTGATTAGCCCTGGGAGATACGGGAGAGGGAGGAGAGAGGGGACGGGAGATGGGGGGGAGCCAAATGAGAAGAAAGATGGGGTGGGGGATGGGGAAAGGGGGAGAAAGGAGACAAGGGAGAAGGGAAGAAACAAACAGTCAGCACATTCTCGCAAAGCAACAAACTTTGTCATCTTGTTCTTTAAAGCGCTGCGATGTTCCCGTCCTCCTCCTCCCGCTCATCCCGCCCCGGGGCTCAGCGGGATCGGGGTACTGGGAGGATTCCCCGGGCTGGGAGGATGGACTGGGAGAAGGGGTTGCCACTGAGCCCCAAGGAGCAACTGCAAAAATCAGGGGTGATGCTCCCAACCCAGCCAGGCTCGGTATGGGGGCAGGAGTGTCACTTGGATGTGAAGTCCTTAGGCACACATCACAAAATCAGTGTGCCAGGAATTTGGAGGCTGGGGCAGTTTTCCATAAAGGAAGTCATGTAAGGAAAAGGGAATCCCCCACTAAAACACTTG